TATGGTTTAACTTTCCTGTCTGTTGCACATGGTTCTTCACCCCACCCCTGCCTTTCTGTCTCTTCTCACTGTAACTGAACATTTTATGTGATTTCATCTTAGCTCATCCATTTGCATATCAATTATACCTTTAAAATTGCTTTAGGGGGTCTAGAGAGATGGGGCAAAGACTGAAAGCACCTGTGGGCCTGGGTTTGATCTCTAGCACCCACTGGTGGCCAATGGTTGTCTGTTAACTCCAGTCCCAGGGGACTCTGACACCCTCTTCTAGCTTCCTTAGGCACTGCGTGGATGAGGGACACAGATATGGTTATAGGTGAAACACCAATACACATAAATAAATAACAAATAAATAAATAATAAATGAATAGCTTTTAAAATTTGCTTTAGTAATTGCCTTAGAGTTTAAAAACTAAGTCTGCAATCAAATGATGTTATTTGTTAGTTGTTATGTTACTTCTTTTAAAAATTTTTACATTTATTTGTTTATTTAACCTCCCTCTCTCTCTCTCTCTCTCTCTCTCTCTCTCTCTCTCTCTCTCTCTCGTGTGTGTGTGTGTGTGTGTGTGTGTGTGTGTGTGTGTGTACATGCTCTAGTGTATGAATGGAAGCCAGAGGACATCTGGCAGGAATTAGTGGTTCTGTCTTTCCACCATGTGGACCTGGAGGATCAGACTCAGGTCTTTGGACCTATTTCTGTTACAGTGTTTTTCATTTCCAGAATTTCTCTTGAACTTTTCTTAAAATTTCCACTTTAAATTTTGTCTCTGGTAATTCTAAAATTTGTGTCACCTCTGAGTCCATCCACAAACCTTTGTCTTTTTAGGCTGTACGTTTCTTCCCTATCTTGTAATTTGCTCAAAATGGAGCCTGGTGTTTCTGGAACATGACCGAGCACAGACAGACTGAGTCTTCTGTGTTCGCCCAGGCAGGGGGTGGGTTGGGTGTAATGGTTACGAAGCTATAGTAGCCAAAGGAATCTCGTACCCTTGCTATTGTCTCCTTTGTGTCTTTAGCTTCCCATGAACTCTGCCTTATCCTACACCTTGTAGCCCTTCGCTCAATAGTCTACAGTGAGATGGGATTCTGTGAGAACCCAATGGAGTTCCTGAACCACAAACGCGCCCCTTCTGGTCAGGACTGTAATTCTCCAGACATATATTCTCATGTCAGCCTATATTCAGCTTTCAGCAACCTGTGACATCTCCATGCCACATTTCCTTCAGCTTCTGTCTCCTTGTGTGATCTTCCATGCTTGGGGAGAGGCCTGCTTTACTCCCAGAATTCCCTGGGATCTGCTCAGCTTTTTCCTTGTGCTAAGGACAAGAATGGTAACTTTATCTCTGTATGTTTTGTGTGGAAGAGAAAGAAGCAGGCCACTTTGATATGAATTATTTGATAGGGTCATGATAGACTCTAACGACGTCTTAATGTTGTCGCCTTAAAAACATTCTTTTACTGAGTGAAATATGTAGTGGTCCCTGCCGTCTCCCTTGTCTTTGACCTCCATTTCAAATGGAAGGGAGTGGGGTTCAGGAACATGAAAGGGAACCCCTCTTATCCATTATTTGTAATGGCCTTGGTCATGTAATCTCATCAAAACCATTTTTCCGAGGGCGGGGGCGGGAAGAGCAAAACAAAAGCAACTAACATACAGAAGGTTCCAGTCTAAATTTTCTGGCCTGGAACTTTTAAAAACAGAAGCATGAGTTGATTGAAGTATTGAATTCCCGCTTTCTCTATATCACAGAATTCCAGTTTCCTCACTCATTTACCATTTAATATTCAGAACCTAGCTCTTCTCAAGGCCCTTCTCAACCCCAAGCAAAGCAGAATTACCTGCCCCCCCCATGCAAGTATGTGTCGCCTTACTCCACCCCCCAGGATCAGCCAATCTCTAGGTGGGATTGCATTTCCTTTAGCAGTACGATCCTGGAAATCCCTCAGACTAATTGAGCATTTATGATGGCCAAACATGGTCCTTTTTTTTTTTTTTTTCCTGTAGCTTGCTTGCTCCTTGGTATTACCCTTGGTAGACAGAGAATCATGAGATGTGCCTGAAGCTAGTTTATGGCAGAGACAAAGTTCACCCCCAGATCTGTCTCCGATGCCTTCCTTCTCTGCTGCTCTCCGATGCTGAGCATAGCTGTGTCACGAGTTCATCCCTGTCCTTGCCTCTGCCTTGGAAACAGCCATTTGCAAGTCCAAATTAGGCATTTAATTTAGTAGTCAGTCTCTATACAACCTTTAGATCCTCCAGTGGCTGTAACTCTTAGAAGGTGGAGACTATAAACCATTTACTAGTGAGTCCCTCCCACAGGAGCCCTAATGAAGCAAAACTATTTGTGGAAACATGAATGAAAGCACCAGTGAACACGTTCACCAGCATAAGAATTACAGATCTTTGAATGAATGAATGAATGAATGAATGAATGAATGAATGAGTGGTGAATGAAGCAACACTCATGAGTTCATGAGGAAGGAGCCTTTCCAAGCATCGAGTAGCAGGCAGCATTTCCCTGATAAGTCCCAGTGAGGCAGGGGCCACACTACTCTCATCATCGCTGTCACTGGCCACATCCTCACATGCCTGGCACCCAGCATGCGGCATGTGCTTAGGGAACTTTGTTCCCTTGGATGCACTGACTTACCAGAGGCAACGCATTCAAGAACGAGTACTTATTTCACCTGTGCTCTGTGGAATGCTGATGACGACTCTGTTCGTCCGGTGACCTTTTCTGGATAACTCCCATTTAATCCTCTTCTAGTACCTCCCAGAATCCACACCGTTGCGATCATAAGTACCACGCCTGTTCTCACAACCCCTACCTGACTCTTCCCTGACTCCTGCAGCATCTAAGTGGAAGAACACAATACTGAGTTAGTGAGACTTACTTCAATGGGCACCCTGCCCTGTCTGTCCCTACTGGATAGTTCTAGAGATCATCTCTGTCCAGAGAGGCCTACTGAACCCCTCATCCAACAGATGGGCCTGGAGCTCACTTTTTCTGCTAGGCAGCTAACAATATGGCTTTTCAATTCTGGCTTTTCCATGACCATGTTGGCCCTACCTTCACTCCCACACTCCCATCAGAGAGAGAGAGAGAGAGAGAGAGAGAGAGAGAGAGAGAGATATCTCACACAAAACACAGAATGGCACAGTGCTGTCATTGCCTCTCCTCTTACTATTCTTTTATTTGGGTTTTGTGGTGGTGGTGAGATTTTTGTTATAGTTGATTTGGTTTGATTTTGGTTTGGGCTCATACAAAAGCCTGAAAACAACCCAAATTGCAAGGAGAGGATCACCACCACCACCTACTGGCCCACCGTTGGCAAAGGACCCAAGGAAGTTCCTTGTGATGGAAGAAGTAAAGGCCAATGGGTTGATGGCTTCAGGGTTTGTAATGCTGTCCCCACTGAACACCACAGTGGAAAGTAAGATGATGCCAAAAGTAAGATGATGCCAAATCTATAACTTCTGTTTTAAAAAAAAAAACAGCAGAGAACTTTGGCTTGAATCATAAAGGTCATTTTACCAAAGCATATTTTTAAAAGGCTGTGAAACATTATGCAACGTTTGCATGACTTAATTATGAGTTTAGAAAAGCCTAGCATGACTTTTTCACTACAGTAAAACATGACAGAGCATGAATCATGGCATAACACTTTATGCTTAGTGTGGCTTTAGACATGGGGCTAGGGGTGCTAGGCTGTCTACACAACAAGGCATGGATTACTACGCCACAATTCACACCCTGGAGGCCTTTATGACAGTTCTAGAACCTCTTCTGTTTGCTTTCTAAGTGATTAAAATATTTGAGTAGTATATGCTCATTGTGTAAGTGTGTGTAGGTAGAGAGAGCATAAGCATATCTTTAGAACATATCTGAGTGTATGGCTTTGGCTATCCCCCACACATACTTGGAGCAAGCAAGATACTTAAAAGTAACACGAGATACAGGACAGTCTGTTGTCTCTGGTCTCCTCCAGCCTTGTTACACTGTTAGCTGTGAGATTGCACAAGGCTCCACCTGCATCGAAGCACTTGCTGTCTGCTGAGTTTAATGTGTACCAGCTCCCTTTTCTGGGCCATCTCTTCAAATCCTCCACCACCTAGAAGAAATCTAGAGGTCTCTTTACCAGTAGGTCCCAAAGACCCCAAGTTAAAATGTTTGTTCAGGAATGACCAGGTTTGTATGACTTACATCTTCAGGGTTTTTGTTTTGTTTGTTTTCAAGAAAGGAAAGAAATGGACCAGCAGGAAGGAAGGAAGGAGGAAATAGGGAGACTCTGTCTGGAGAAACAAACAAAAACAAAACAAACTAGCAAAAACCCTGCCAGCTTCAAGACTCAGTGCTGCTTGTTAGATGGAGCAGCCTCACTGATGAACCCGTGACCTGGTCATGAAGCTCACGCCCATTGTTCTTCTTTGCTGTCTGCTTTCTGTGTGTGGGGGGGAGGGGGGTGTTTTCTTTTATCCTTTTATTGTCACTATTGCTATGGTTTCGTGATCATTTACTTAAGTAGAAAATATTAACAAGCCCATGGGTATTTTTGCCTATGTTACCTTACACCCCAAATCCCCTTTACATCCTTCATGTTTCCTGAACATAGGTGACCATCTGAGCTTATTAAATGTTTCTGGTTATGATAATTATAATTATTGGCAAAGCTGGATGTGTCATGTTTGGAGTCTCAAGGCACTGAGCACTGCTAGAGTCCCAGATAACCTTCAATATTAATATGAACAAATGTATAGAAGGAATAATTATCAAATAAAAACCTCCCAAAATTCTATGGGAACTGCTCCTTAAGGGAAGCTCTCCTACCACAGAGGCATCAAATACCTGGGTTCTACCAGGCTCATTAGATACAAATGGACAAGCTATGTGCATGCGTATAGTTATTTGAATAACGGTGAGCAATTATCACTGTAAGACCTTTGCCTTTTAAAGCCCCACCCCTCTCCATCTGTCATCAACACTCCTGTCTCTCTGCAGATGCCAGGCAGATCCAGCCGTCCCCACCGTGGTCCTATGATCAGTCTTACCAGTACCTGGGGTCCATCACCTCCTCTTCCGTGCACCCAGCAACACCCATTTCACCAGGACGTGCCAGCGGGATGACAAGCCTCTCTGCAGAGCTTTCCAGTCGACTTTCAAGTAAGTTTCGTGAAGGCATACCTGCAGTGAGGCTGGAGGGGAAGAATAGAGGAGACAAAGGTGAGGAGGTAGCCAGATGCAGACCAGAACAGGGTTCAAAGACAAAGTCGCCTGCCTATGTAAAGGTGCCATGCCAAGCACTGATTTTTAGTGACATGCTAAGAGGGTACGGATGAGGAGGCGGAGGTGTCTTAGTCTATCTCTTCAGTATTTAGGGTTTGCTCATGTCTGTTAGGGAAGGTTAGTGGCCAAGAGCTACAATTTTGAAAAGTCAAAGTGGTCTAAGGATTGTATATCTTTGGCACAAAAAAAAAATCAATATCCCAGCTGAATTCTAGACCGAGGCTGTTCTTCCCAGTGGTGGTGATTTTTTTACAGGTCCCTGTGTATAGCACAATGGGGTCCATACTGGAATAGGAAACAAATATGCCCCAAGATAAACATTCCCAGCTAAGAGCTGTTCAGACTGAGGGTTAGGAACAAGATGGAAAGCTCAGGTGTCACGGTTAGCATAATTGTTGTTAATACGAGCTCATTAAATATTAGTCATTTAACCTATGAGCCCTTGGGGCTTGGCACTCACCTTCACTCCTGGGCAGGGAAATCAGAGTTACAGGAAAAAAAAATTCCTTTGTTGAAGGCAAAAGAAGAAACTTACTGTTTGGGGCTTTGAAATTGGAGCTGAACCAAACAGTGAAATACTTGAGAGAGCTTCACCCTTAGGAGGCCCTCCATGGACTTGCATGTGTGCTGGGGGAGGGAGTGGGTTTTGCTTTGGGGCTCTTGAAGGCAGATCAGAACAGATGAGGGGGCAGGCAGAAGGGCAGAGAGTCAGGATTGTCCCTTAAATGTGAAAGACTGTTTCCAGACAACCACCAGGATTGCTTAAGACTCCAGCCGAGTGTCAGCTTCTCCATCACAAATCACCCCCAACTCACCAGGCTAGTGTAGCCTACCTTCCCCCAGCAATGGTACCAGCAATTTTGGACTGCATCACGTTTTGTTGGCGGGAGGCAGAGTGGACTGTCCTATGTGCCAGACAATATTTAGAAGCACACTTGACCTCTAGGTGCCAGTAGCAAGTGCCCTGGTCTGTCCATCAGAAATGTCTCCAGGGTTCTTTGGGTAAAGCCCTTGCTTTGCAAACATGGGGACCAAGTGTGATTCCCCAGAACACAGGTATAAAAGCAAAGTGTGGTGTCACTGGCTTCTAATCCCAGCACGAGGGACATAGAACATCCAGAACAGATCAATCAGAGAGCTCCAGGCCAAAGAGAGGCTCTGCCTCAAAAAAAAAAAAAAAAAAAAAAAAAAAAAAAAAAACAAACAAAAACAAACAAACAAAAAAAAAACAAGTTGGCCCACTGCTGAGGATCAAAACCCAAGGCTGGCCTCTGGTCTACACACACACACACACATACACACACACACACACACACACACACACACAGAACATCACCAGACAGTGTCACTTGTGTCAGAGCAGGGAGAATCTCAAGCTTCAACCAGCCCTTGGCGCTTGATTGAACTACGAAAGCCAGCTTACTCAGAGTTCACCTGCGTTAGGCCATCAGTGCCAGCATTTCCATGGGAGCCGATGGTCTAAGGAATTAGGAGGGTAGCATAGAAATCATGGCATTTGTTCAGCTGGCTGTGTGTAAAGGCCTGTCCCCTCAGGGACAGTTATGACTCCAGTAGCATCTGTCAGCTTTCACAGATTCGTCTCAGTGACATTGCTCTGTCGACTGGCACTTACTGTTTTCCTTGGAAATGTCCCCAGTGTGTGGGTCTGTCCCTTGAAATTTATTATGTAAGTCTTTTGGCTTGGTCACCACCCAAAATGGAGACCTAGGACCAGCTGCTCCAGCTGCCCATCGATCACACGTAAGAGTGGCTTTTGATACTTTCCACTCACTTTTGGAGAATTGCACACATTGATGTGACACTTTTGATCATGTCCACTCCCCATCCCTCCCCTCCAAGGCCCCCATAGCATCTCCCTCAAAACATCATGTGCTTTAAGAAATTGTAATTTTTTGTTTATTAATCAAGTCCAGTTGGCACTGCCCATATACACATGGGTATAGGATCATTCACTAAGGCATGGCAAAATATCAGTGCCACCATCACCCAAGAGAAAATAAGTAGCACGTCCAAATCACAGCTATGTTCTTCATGATCTGACTTCAACAACACAAGCTAGGAAGAAGGGCGTTTATGGCACAGGAATGTGAGAAAGAGAAAAACCATGTCAGGACCCAGAAGTGACCTGTGCTGCCCAGGAGGAAAGACCGGAGAATGGCAAACAAGCTTTCGTGAGTGGCAGAGAACAAGCATGGGAGAGAGAGCTTCAACTTGGCAAAGGTCCCTCTAGAAATCAAACCCTGAACACAGGCCTTGCCGGCCTAGAAAGTGTTGGCATAAACCTGGGGCAGGCGGAGGCTAGGATCCGTGAAAGGAAGTGGGCCCACCGCTCTGCGAACTTGCCCTCTCCATGGCTGATGTGCTTTGTGTGCTGGGTGCTTTGTCTACTCTCAGCCCCACCTGGCCTCCCTTCCCTGCACACTTGGTCTCGTCTGTCTCTGTCCCTTGCAGACAGACTCCACACCTTGTCTGAAAGGAGTTGTCACATGAAGGTTAACCTTCCTTCGTCTTCTTTTCTTTTCTTTTTTTTTTCCCCTTCTTTTTCTTTTTGTTAATTAATGTTTAGCTGCCAACCTGGGCGACAGACAGCTCGCATTAATCTGAGTCATGCAGAAGATCCTTTTAAGGCAGCCATTATCTGCTCAGGTTGTTTAATCCTTGGGGGCAGTGGGAGGGGCCTGGAGTGGGGCTGGAGAGCCAAGCCTAGCTCTTGCCATGGCAGATACACTTCCAGTGAAAACACCTGAACCTTCTAATCCTCAGACTTCCTACTTTTAAAATCTCCCAATGAATTGGGGGGGGTCACCTTTGTTACTGAAATGGGGGTAGGCCAGGCCAGCCAAAAGGATAGAGGAGCTGTAGTGTGACCATATGTAAACTCTGTGACTGGTGATTTGTAATAGGAGAGGCTAGACCAGATCTTAAAGTGAAAACAAGTGGAGAGGTGGCTTAGTGGTTAAGAGCTTTTGCTTCTCTACCAGGGGAACTGAGTTCATTTCCCAGGCCCCCCCAGTGCGCTCACAGCTGCCCATAATTCCAGTTACAGGGCATCTGACTGCTTCCTCCAGCTTCCAGAAACACACTGTACTTACCTGTGCTCATGCATGTACACACACACACACACACACACACACACACACACACACCAACACATAATTGAAAATAATATGTATAAATGAAAGCAAGCATTTGAATAGAGCACTTGAACACATCTAGAGGGCCTAAGTCCTTTTATATTACAAACTATGTAAAAAACGAGACTGAAAGGGATGAGGGAGGGAGGAAGTGAAGGAGGGGAAGGGAGAAGTTGACCTTCTGTAGACAGATACCACTAGTTATCTCAGATTTTCAGTGACTCTGCCCCCAGCAGCTGAGGCTGTAACATTTTTCCTGTGCTTATGCCCATGACAAATCACAGACTCACGATTCCGGTAACTTGGTACCATCACCACATTACCATGTAGTAACTGGAACAGACTGGCAGGGCCTGTTGAGGCACGGTTGTGAGACGGGGTGACCTTCCGTTCACTCTTTCCAGTGGGTTCACCTGTTTGTCTCCGGGCAAATGAAGCAAGAGGCATAGTGGGCGGAGCCATTTGTTTGTGTCCAGGGCATTGCATCAGATGACAACAAATTGATTGTGTTTGCCTAATGCCCTCCATCCTGCCATGGCTTCTCCCTGGACTGTGTAAATCTAACTGGGGGAAAGAAAAATGGAGTAGAGCTTCCTGTTAACTCTCAAACATGTCACGGCTCTGTGCAAGCAAAACAAGTGACAGAGAGCTTGCTCATAGATGGCCCCAGAGAGGGGGCAGGGATGAGCCCTGTGGAATGAGGTGTGGCCTGGCTGTAGAAGAAGCTAGAGGGCAGCCGAGCCAGAACCACTGTCCCTTTACAACCTTTTCCCTGCCCTCCTGTCTAACTTGCTTTGAACACATTAACAGGGGCGTTTGTTTGCAAGGCAGACTCCTGGTTTCCTCATTAGTAGAGGGATTTGCTGCAGACTCCGGCTGTTTCTATAAACTCTAATTACCTCTCTGATGGGGAGTCTATTTCCCTCACATTCACCCCAAATGTACACAAGAGTTCCTTTTGTGAAATTGTGTTAGAGCAATAAAAGATTATTGAAAGAGAGGGAGAGGGAGAAACCGAACACAAACAGCAGCTCTCGCGCTGGAATAATAGGCTTGCAGTAGAAGGAAGTTGATCACAGCTCATGCCTTCCAAAACCAGATTAATCCACCCGGGTAGTTTTCCTTTCAAAGGCAGCTTTTAGCTGCCCTCAAGTTTCTCTCCAGCAGGCTCAACTCAAAAGGGCCCAGAACACATGCCTCGGGAGCTTAAAGTTATTCTGTAAATTAATTTGAGAATTTAACGTTTGGAGCCTTTAGTTCTTGCCTCTGCAGTTTTGTTGATGTCTTCTGGAGGGGTGTGATGGCTCTCATTTTGAGGGACACAAGCTACCCCCAGCACCCTCCTATTCACAGTGGTGACTCTCAGCAGGGGGTGAATTGCATCCCCTACACCCATTCCCAGATTATTTGGCTATGTCTGAAGATACTTTTGGGTGTCACAGTCGGGGCGGGGGCACTACTGTCATCTAGTGGGTAAAGAACCTAGACATTGCCAAACAACTCACAAGGAGTGAGTCGGAGAGAACCCAGCCACCCACTAGAAATAATATGGGCAAAAATGCCAGAGTGCCACTTTTGGTAAACTGATCTGCAAGGGAAGCCATTCTGGACCTTATATTCCCTGCTCCCCCCCCCCCAGTCTGCCTCAAAGGCAGTGTGCACATGAGGGCAGTGCAGGAGGACCGGCGAACCATGGGAGGACAACCAATGGCAATTTGTAGATCTGTAAATTCATCCCCAACAACATGAGTCTTGAAAGGAAACATGGCCATTCCAAATTTCAGCATATGCAAAAATCTGATACAGCAAGTTCTTAGATCCATTTGTGTAAAAAAGAATAAGTAAACACAAATAATCTAGTGCAGCGGCAGCTGGAGAGACAGCTGGATGGATAAGAGCACACATTGTTCTTGCAGGGGACCTGGGTTTGAGTCCCAGCTCCCACACAGGGTTGCTCACAATCATGGGTAACTCCAGCTCCAGGGGACTTGGCACCCTCTTCCAGCCCCTGTGGGAAGACAACAGTGAAGCAGGTCTCAGATAAAGACATGAAATCGTGTGTCCATTGTTATACAGATGTGCAACAAGTCAGAAGGCAGACACCAGTGATATGCCAGTCACCCCGTCTGTTTACACTGTCACTGCCACAGCAAGCATTATGCCAAGTAATAGGAAATTAGCCAACTTTCAAAGGGCCAGAGCCCACAAAACTGACAGTTTTCTACTATCCAAGCTGAAAACTATGCGCAATGACTATTAATATTCTATTAGTAACATATAAGTGCATCCAATACCTCAATTTCTATAATGTTATGTCATTATATAGTGTTATATTAATATTGCTATATTACCAACATATTAACCAATATTAATATTTTAATGTAAATAGAGGATCAGTGAAGGGCCAAAGAGAAATGGTTAAGCTTTGAGAGCTCTGTTGTCCTAGCCACTTAATAGCAGTGGGAGCTACTTGTCACATGTGAGAGTATTCACAGGGCCACCCTGTGGTACAGACTAAATAGAAACAAAACCTTATGTTTTTATTTTCACAGTTTTACAACTATTTGAAAACCCAAAACCCATTTTTAATTCCTAGGACACACTAATTCCCCCTAGCCAGTTTTGACTAAAGGGCTTTTGCCAACCTGGGAGTGTACATGTATGCGTATTGTAAACGTTGCCTTGCACCGCCGCTGTGCGTGTGACATTCAGGTACCTATGCAACACGTATGCTATCCCATGTCATGACACACACCACAGCCATTGCAGGACTCCCTACAAAAGGCGTTCTCACGCTATTGATGACAGCATTGCTGGGTGAAACCCACCCACTTCTTGTCAAGTAGCCCCGTTGCTTAGGAAGCAGAAGCCATCTGGGTAAATATCCATCTCAGCGGTCCCCCTCGGTGGGCAGGGGCACTCTGGGCAGCCCTGTGTGTCCTGGGAGGGGCACTATTGGTGCTCCCTCCTCCATGGGCAGGGCCCTCTGGGCAGCCCTATGTGTCCTGGATGGGGCACTCTCTGCGGTCTCCCCTCCATGCGCAGGGGCCCTCTGGGCAGCCCTATGTGTCCTGGATGGGGCACTCTCTGCGGTCTCCCCTCCATGTGCAGGGGTACTCCGGGCAGCCCTGTGTGTCCTGGGTGGGGCACTCTGGCAAGAGGGAGGCCTTTGTCTCTCAGACCACAGACTCACGGCCTCTCTCCCACCCATCACAGCAGCCCCGGACCTGACCGCCTTCGGTGACCCGCGCCAGTTCCCCACGCTGCCCTCCATCTCCGACCCGCGCATGCACTACCCCG